TGACGAGGAGAAACAGGCAGTTTCTGAATGAAGGCTGAGAACATGGGGGGAAAGGGCTCATTCTGAGGGAGATGATGGAGGACATGTCTCATGTGTCAGGGACAGAGACAGCCAGTGGCTGAGGCACAGGTGACCCTGAAGACCACAGGCTACCTGACATTATCCGGGTCCCTCTCAGCGGCCTGCACAGCAGGAAAAAGCAGTGGTAAAGCCCAAGGAAAAAATTTGGAGAGTCTGTTTCTCAAAAACAAAAACAAAAACAAACTTGCCATCCTGGAAGGCAAAGTGCATGCCCTACTTTGAAGTGCATGGAGCTATGGATCCAGAGTGGCACAGCACACAGCCCTGCACGGGACAGGCTGGGGTGAGGTCTCATGGCTTCCCCTGGAGAAGTTCTTCCTCCCTGGTCTTTCTCTGGTTGCCTCTTCTCAACCATTAGGATGATGAAAACTTGCATTTTCCAGAAGTGGCCATAGCAACATTTCTAGTCCTAGGTGTTCCTCCAGGGCCTTGTCACCTTCCACCAAGAAGCATGTCCCATTTTCTCACTTGACCTCCCGATGGGGCTGGCTCTGTGGCTGAAGCCATGCACATATTTTAACAAGAATGCTAAGTGACTTCCGAGGTCAGGTCATAGGAGGTGAGAGGCCATCTCACTTGTGGCCCTGCAGGATGCTCTGGCTTGGGACGTACACCCATATTTTGAGAAAACCCAGGCTGCCAGGAGAGGTAATCCTCAGGTGTTTCACTGGTAGCAAGCTGGAGTCTCAGCAGAAAGCCAGGATTCAACACCAGATACGCAAACAAGTAAGAGGTTTAACCTCACCTCAGGGTCTGGAGAGACTTTGTACAACAGAGGCAGCTCTCCCCCGTGTCCTGTCCACACACATGGTCCACACGAGCGTGATAAATCATTGTTTTAGGCCCTTAGGTTTCAGGGCAGTCTTCTACACAACACAGTAGCTGGAACTCAGTGCAGATGTCACCTCAGAAAAGCCTTGTCTCAGTTACTTTTCTCATTGTTGACACAAAATAGTGGACACCCACAAAATAGCGGACAGTTAAAGGAGGAAAGGTTTGCTTAGCTCAGTTTATAGAGGTTTCAGTCCATAATCAGCTGGCTCCAAGGCAGGTGGCACACAGCAGAGGGCATCGAAGAGGAGAAACAGCTCATGGCAGATAGCAGCAAAAGCACCGCACAGCAAGTGAAAAGCAGGGCGGCGGCAGCCCGTGTCCCTCTGTTCCATGCACGAACCTGCCGTGGGCAGTAGCACTCACACCCACTGTGGAGCACCCTTCATCCCAGCACTGCTCCAAGAGCCAGTCCCAGCTCACTCTGGATCCAGCCACCTCTGGGACCCACCCGTGACACACAGGGCTTTGGGGGACCTCACACACGAGCCACAACAGGCCTTTTCTGCTTTCCTCACACAAGTCATATTGCCAGTCACTTCTACACATTACTGTATTTAATCTTACCTATAATTTTGTGATAAAATATATATAAAGGCTCCATTTTATTCATTTTCAAGTGTCCTACTCAGGGACACCCAGTGCGTTCACAGTGTCACAGTGATCAGCGCTCTTCGCTTCCAGAACTTCACCGTCACACCTTCCCCTCTGGAGACCTGAGGGCGCAGGCTCGGCTCAAATTGTGCCTAAATGGTCAGTGCCGCTTCTTCATCTGCATTTGACACAATTTCCAAGAAAGCGTGTGGCAGACTCTGAAGACGACACCCGGCCCCTCTCCAGGAAGGCCTCCTGCACCGGCTGGCTTGGTCGCCTCCAAATCACTCCGATGGAAGCAGCACTGCTTTCTCCTCCCTGGCGCCTGGCGGGCGAGGTAGATGCTTGTCATGGTTTGTGTCTGGATGGCCCCTAAAGCCTCATGTGGTCATAGGGTGCGCTGGCTTTTTGGAGGCGGCTGGAGTTTATGACAGATTTGTGGTCCGATGCTGGGACTGAGGGTGTGGTGCTGGGTGCTGTGTCCCAGTGACCGGAAAGTAAGACAGGGTGTCGATGGTGCATGCTGAAAATCATGGGGCTGGTATGGTGGCCTTGGAGGAGAGCACAGACACAGAAAAGTTCCATGTCCTTGGAAATACCAGTTTCTCACCTATCTCTTCTTCCTGGGACTGTGCAGACCCTCGTATTTGGTGATTTAAGCATGTGCTTAGTAAGTCTACCCAGCACCCCAGACTCACTAGCCTTTGGTAGTCTCTCCTCCTGTGACCTGGTTTTCCCTTCCATCCCAGACACCCACACCGACCGCCACCCCCTGCCCTGTGTCACTATTGACAAGGAGCCCTAGCAGCCCATTTTAAGGAGCCTTTTCATCTTACTCCTGCCCTTTGGAGCTGCGGCCTTTTTCAGTCCCAACCAAGCCTAGTAGAGTGAGAGTGATGGAGTCCATTTGTTCCCTCCTCCCCACCTCCCTGCACGCCCTCGAGACCCCTGCTTTCATCTGCTCCAGGCTGGAATTCTTAGGTCATGATCAGGGTCACACTCTCCAGATCTCAGCAGTGCCTGGCACGTTGCCTGGCCTCCCTTCCTGCACTCTCCTCTTGGCTGGCTCGGCGAACCAGCCCTGGGTGTCACCTGCAACCTCCACACCGTGCCCCCGACATGACCTGCCCTGCCAATTTTTCTAAACTGGGATTTCCAAGGACATGGAACTTTTCTGAGTCTGTGCTCTCCTCCAAGGCCACTGTACCAGTCCCATGATTTTCAGCATGCACCATTGACACATCTTACTTTCTGGTCATTGAGCCACAGTACCCGACACCCACAAATTAAAGGAGGTATTTCAGCTCACAGCAGTTGAAAGGTGAAATGAAATGGCACAGCAGAGGGGAGCCGCTCACACCACAGTGGCCAGGAAGAAGAGAGCAGCGCCGAGGGAAGTAGCCTTCCAGACCAGAGCCCCCGGCAGCACGTTTAGCACACCCAGTAGGGGACCCCAGAAGTTCAGACACCACCCAGAACATGAGGTGTGCCTGTGGGGGGGGCTTGATCTCAACTCCCAAAAGTGCCCTCAGGGTGCACCTCTCCTTCACCCTGCAGACTCCTTGTATCCGCCTTCATATGCCTCTCCTTGGAGGCCTCACAGAAGTCTGAAACGCTGTCCCCGGACAGGGACGAGGACACTGAGGGTGTGGAGCATGGAAACCTCACACACAGCCAGCAGCAATGTGCAGTGGAGCAACTCTTCGGCAAAACCTTTGGCAACGTAAAGTAGAACTGTGTGTGTCACGAGACAGGTTCACTCCCGGGTACACGTCCAGCAGAAATGGACCCACACGTACACGAAGGACGGGTATGAGAATGTTCTCGTGTTATTTGCAATCACTTCAAACTGCACACAGTTTAAAAGCCTGTTCACAGAAGGGTGATCGGTACTGCAGTCATGCAATGATTGTTGCACAGCACGAAAACCAAGGAACCTCAGCCACTCACAGACACGATGCACCTCACTGAGGAGGCTGCGCATGGAGCACATCAGAGACAGAAAAGCCAAAGGGAGGCATGCGACTGAAGGCAGGACGGTGGTGGCCTTCGGGAAAGGGGTGGCTGTGAGGTGAACCTGGCGAGGGTTCCTGGGCGGTAGGTGAATAGATATTTCCAAACTTACATTTTTTAAATAAATTAAAAAGCTCTGCAGCTGAGTTGAGACTTAATCCACTGCAACCTTCTGCTTGGTGTTCTCCATCCCAGAGTCGTCCTTCAAACTGCTCCAGCTGAGTCCTGAAGTCCTCCTGGTGTCTCACCTGTGTGTGTAAGCCTCGTCCCCGATGTGTTCAGTATGTAGCTGCAGTCCAACTATTTCCTAGCAGACGCCCCCAATACCTTTGTTGAGGCCACCACTGGTTCACACTGGACGCTGGGTAGCACACCAAAATGCATTCCCAGCTTGCACCCTGGAAGCCCGGTTATTTCTATCCTGTTCTGCAAGTGATCCTTTGAAAACAAAATGGAGGCCGGGCATGGTGGCACACACCTGCAATCCCAGCCTTGGGGAGGCTGAGGCAGGAGGGGTGTCATGAGTTCAAGGTCAGCCTGGAATACATGCTGAGACTGTCTAAAGAAAAAAAAAAAAAAAAAAAAAAACAGAAATCCTGTTCCTGCCCCCACCCAGGACCATCTCAGGAGTGAGATGCTCACTCCTTAGGAAGGCACTGCAGGAACAGCTCCCAGTGCCTGCTTCAGCCTCTGCTTGCTACACTCAGCCTGCGCCCCCTAAGGGCCAAAGATGCTCCCCTAGCTGGACTTTGTGACCAGCGGTCCGTGTGCTGGGAAGCTGCTCCTTCCGGTATCTCCGCCGCCCATCCACTCACTGTGTGCAGCTGTGTGAGCCAATGATGCTTTAGAAGCACTTCGAGACCACTGTCCCTGATAACACAGCTGCTAGGGTCTCATTCACACCCTTCACTGCCTTTGTCACAGTGCTATTGCTGCTTGCATTTAAATTGTCACAGGATGTGAGTCCTGTAAGATCAGAAATACGGTTGTGTCTATTCATGGGCCTCAGCTGCTACAAATTCAGGGACCTTATAAGCACTGGCTGCGGCATTTAGTGAAGACTTTAATGTCTAAAGGTGAGGGTCAAAGTTGGGAGACTGTCTTCCTGTTCACTTCCTTCCTTGGCAAAACCAGCCAGGGACCCAGAATCTATAATCTGCTGGCCGTCAAGAAGATTGCCAACCTAAGACCTGGAGGAAAATGCTCGGTGTCTATAAACTGTCTTGAACCCTGGGACATCCAAAGACACTATCCACGAAGGTACTAAAATCTGTAAACAGCTGAGAATGCCTTGCCCCTAACAGGTGGCTCTGGTTTCTGAGGTATTTTTATGGGGGTGGGTGTCGACAGACATCAGATCTCTTAACCCTGAACCCCTATATTCTTCTGGATTGTAAATTCTTCCAATTTTCTCCTTTCGTATAAATATGAATGAAGAACTGTTACTATTGCACCATGTTTCTGGCAGGCAAACTATAGAATTAAGAAAAAAGACCAGGTGAGAGTTTATTTAGAATCACTTCTTTTTCCTGCTTTTACAGTACAGGCCAGGGCAGGAGGTGGTAAGGATGTGGCTATGGGCAGCTCCGTGGTACTGGAGAAACCTGAGTCCCAGCAAGTCCAGAGCAGCAAGTCAAACCCACGGGCTCTGGGAGGATTGTTGGAAGCCGCTGAGGCTGGGATTGAACACATGTGCAGGGCTGTGGCTTGGCCTGGGCATGGCCGACCTGAGAACAAAGAGATGCCCCAAAGGGCAACATAATGTCACTGCTGAGGGCACCCGCTCCAACCCCAGTTAACAAGATAGCAACTGTAGCTGCAGGCATCTCACTCCTGTAGTGAAAATCAACCTGGAGACTTTCTCCGAAGGTACTTCTAAATGAACGGAATCTATTACCTAGAAAAGTCCTTGAACCACTGGGTCCTGCTCAGTCTCCTGTATTTCCCACTCCTACCCCTTCCTTGCTTGAAAAACTAAAATACTGGCTGCCCAGAGACATTCCTTGTCTTGGCCCCAGTCTTGAACTCTGCTAAACAGTTTTGATCCTCCTGGAGCCCTAAAATCATACGACTTGTCTCATTTATTTTAAGCCTTTGCCATTTGGGAGACTGGGGATGTTGAGCAGGTCCCCAATAAAGGCTGTGGATTAGCAGTGATGTACTTTCTCGGCCTGTCTTCAAAGCACAGGCAAACAAAGCCAACAGAGGAAGCAGGACAGGGTTTTGTCCAAGTATAACTAACTTACCTGAGGATCGCAAAGTCTGGGTCATTGAGGCTCACCTGACAGGCTCGACGGGGAGACAAAGAGTGAGTGGAGCCAAGCACCATCTTTCAGGGTTAAGGACAAATCTCTACCCAAGATGTACTTCTTCACACAGGACTGGGAAAGGCACACATCTTCCGAAGCATCCCGGCACCTCCTGGCACAGGACCGCACTGTTCCCTGCACATGGGTACCTCGTGTGTCCACAGCATGGCATTGGCTCAGAGGTCCCACAAAGCCTGTCCTGAACCTCGGTCCCCATGCCGTGCGGTGACCTTCACACCTCCCTCGGAAAGATGCCTTGAGAAATTAACAGACACCTAAGTAACATATCCTTAAAGCTGTTTCAAGTTACAACAGGAAAAGGTCCCAGGACTGCATGGCCATGCTACTTCCTGAATCCTGTTCTGCACTGTCTGGCACTGTCAGTTGAGAAGGTGACCAAATAAATGCAAAGCAGGTCCCTGAGCAGTTATATAACCGAGAACTGCACCTGAAAATCTGCAGTGCTTTCTCCCTCCAACGCATCGGTGGAAAAACGTGTAAGACTCTCGATCAGCCCATGTGCCCTGTTTGTTCCAGGTTCTCAGCCGAAGAGGTCAGGCTGAGAAACTCCACTCGTGCCTCTGAGAGCAGGAATACAAGGAGCCGATCAGTAAGCTAAACCCGAGTTGTTGTCAAGGCCACCAGTGACAGTCATGTGGGTGTGGGCTGCAGGTGTCTGGTGTCACACACACTGTCACCTGTTTCTGACATGACCTGACTTACACACTTAGCTTGTGTACTATGGAGACGATCCAACCAGTCCCACTGCCTAGGGATTCTGAAACCCATTTCACGAAAGATGCAGCTCAAAATCGTGTTATATGAGCTGAGTGTAGAGGCACACGCCACTAACCCCAGCACTCTGGAAGGTTGAGGCAGGAGGATCATGAATTTAAGCACAGGCTGAGCAACTTAGCAAGACCCTGTCTCAAAATACAGGCGAGCAGCTTACATAAGCACAAGTCAGCTGTGCGCCATGTAGGAAGCGGCCCTCTCGGGCACAGGGGTGCAAGTGCTGAGACCCTAGATTTCCAGCCTCCAGAGCCGGGGGGGGGGGGGGGGGGGACGGACGGGGGGGGGGGACTCATAATCAGGTGTTTCAATCATAACTAGTTTATGGGAATTTTTTTTAACAGCCAAACTAAGCAAGTAATTATCATGTGCTGCCAGGGTTTAACCAGTAACACTAGAATTAGCCATGGAAGCATACTTTTGTAGCTGCAATAAACTCCTCGAACGTTAAAAAACATACGAAGCAGAAGTACTATGAAAGGATTTTTGTCTTGTTTTTTTGAGGCAGGGTCTCACTGTATTACCCAGAAACTCCTGGGCTCAAGTGACCCTCCGGCCGGAGTCTCCTAAATTGGACAAGTCGCTGCAGCTGGCTCCGGTCTTAATGCTGAGTTAGGTTACTACTCGGAACTCAGTATGAGGTATTTTATAATGTTTTATTACAAAGCAGTTCTCTCAGCGACTCCAGTGCAGGAGCAGAGCAGGTCGCTCATTACTGAAGCGCAAACCATGCAAAAACACGCTGTCAGACGCAACACGTGTAGCAAAACCATGTAAGAATATATTGTGAATGTACAAAACCGAGTATAAAACACTAAACTACCTCTGAGGTCATCTATTCCAATCCTTCATTCCACGTGAAAGCTCTGAGTTGATGTCACAGGGTTGCTCAGTAACAACTGGGCAGCGCAGCCCCGCCCCCAGCTTCTGGTGGGCTTTGCTTCCTGGGCGCCGGCCCCTAGGACAGGCAGACGCCGGGGTGCAGCCTCTGGTGCTTGCTGAGTGCGGAGCGGAACCGGAAGGCTTTCCCACAGCCGGCACAGCCGAAGGGCTTCTCACCGGCGTGGGCACTCCGGGCCTCGCCGCGGCTGCGCCCTAAGGCCCCGTCCCACGCGCCGCACTCGTGGGGCTTCTCCCCGCTGTGGACCCGCTGGTGCTGCGCCAGGTGGGCGCTCTGGCTGAACGCCTTGTCGCACTTCCCGCACCGGTAGGGTTTTTCCTCTGCGTGGGTTTTCTGGTGCTGCGCGAGAGACGAGCAGTGGCGGAAGGCCTTCCCGCACTCGGGGCACGCGTAGGGCTTCGCGCCCGAGTGGATCCGCTTGTGCTGCGTGAGGTGTATGTTCTGGTTGAAGGCCCTCCCGCACTCGCTGCACTTGTACGGCCTCTCCCCGGTGTGGATCTTCCTGTGCTGGATCAGGGACGAGCCGTAGCTGAAGGTTTTGCCACACTCGTGACACTGGTAGGGCTTCTCTCCGGTGTGGATTCTCTCGTGCTTGGCGAGCGAGGAGCTCCGAATAAAGGCCTTCCCGCACTCCTTGCACTCGTAGGCCTTCTCCTGGGTGTGCGTCTTCTGATGCTGATTCAGGTTGGAGAGGTAACTGAAAGCCTTTCCACACTCGCTGCAGGCGAAGGGCTTTTCTCGGGTGTGGATTCTGCGATGCTGGGTGAGGGATGAGCAGTAGCTGAAGGCCTTTCCACATTCGCTGCACTTGTAAGGCTTTTCTCCAGTATGAATTTTCAGATGCTGGGCGAGGGACGACCAGTAGCTGAACGACTTCCCGCATTCCGCACAGTCGTAGGGCTTCTCCCCGGTGTGGGTCTTCTGGTGCTGCGTGAGGTTCGAGTGCTGGCTGAAGGCTTTCCCGCACTCGCTGCACTCGTAGGGCTTCTCCCCCGTGTGGATCATGTGGTGCCGGATGAACGTGGAGGGCCCGTTGAAGGCCTTCCCACACTCGTTGCATTTGTAGGTTTTCTCGCCAGTATGAATCTTTTGGTGTTGGGTGAGGTGCGTGCTCCTGGTGAAGGTTTTATCACACTCGTCACATTTAAAAGGCTTTTCTCCTGTGTGGATTTTCTGATGTTCCATAAAGTGGCCTCTCTGGCTAAAAGCTTTGCCACACTCACTGCACGTGTATGGCTTCTCCCCAGTGTGGATTCTCTGGTGCTGAACAAGGTGGGTCCTCTGGCTGAAGGCCTTCCCACACTCGTCACACTTGTAGGGCTTTTCTCCAGTGTGGATTCGCTGATGCTGAGTAAGAGACGGACCCTCAATGAAGCCCTTCCCGCACTGGTCACATTTGTACGGTTTGTCTCCAGTATGGATCCTTTGATGGTTTATAAGGTTTTCGCTGCGGCTGAAAGCCTTTTCACATTCGTTGCATTTGTAGGGTTTCTCTCCGGTATGTGTTCGCTGATGGCGAATAAGAGCTGAACAATAGCTAAAAGCTTTGCCACATTCATTGCACTTACAAGATTTCTCTTTTTTCACTGGGTGTGGGTGCTTCCTGCCGTCTGTCTGAGTGGAGGTCTGCTCTGGGGATGCTTCCGGCTGTGTTCCAGTGTGGGAGCACACGCTGCTCTTCCCGCTCTCAGCGCTCCCAGGGCCCTGCTCACACGTGGCTGCCGTCCTTTTGGTCACCTCTGGTTTTTCCTGCGGCAGCACCTGTTGCCTCCCCAGGCTGCCTGCAGTCTCCCACGCATCCGGGGCTCCGGGGGCGCAGGGACCCTGCTGTCTGTGCTTCTCCACTGGCGCCTCTGAAGGCTGCTCCCCGTCGGCAGTGCCCACTTCTGGAGGTGACGCACTGCCCTCACGTCTTGGCTCCCAATCTGAAAGAAAGTACAACAGCAGTGTCCCTGGACAAAGAAAGAAAACCACAACTGTGGGAATGAAGCCCATAGGAAGTGCTGTTCTCAAACTCACTCAGCGGCTGAAGTGTTAGGGCCTGAGTTTTTTCAAAACTTTGAAACTGTTTTCTCTCCAGTCATGATGGAAATTTTTAAAATTTCATTTTTAATTTGTAATCAAACTTGACAAGTTGCTTTTCCAAAAATTAATTGTAAGCCCCAGTTTATGAAACTCTTAATAAAAATATCAAGAGTTTTCTAAATCATGTTTTAAAAAAAAATCTTCACAGAGAAAGTACAGAGCAGAGCAAGAGGGGGAAGAACGAGAGTGACGGGAAGGAGAGAAGGGGGACAGGAAGGGAGCAGAAGAGCTCAGTTGCCGTCTGTGAACCCTGACGTGGATTCCTGCCTGTCCATTTAAAAAGGGGAAGGAAAAAAACCAAAAAGCAGAGTGTGCTCCACACGTGATCTTAGAGGAAAGGCTAAGAAGCAAGCCGAGTACTCGGGGAAAAACCTAGCTTTGTGGAGCCCCAATTCCCAAGAAGCCTGCAGATGAAGCCTTCCCAGAGCGCCGGGCCACACCTGTGCCAGCATCTCTGGGCACTGACTGCGCAGTGTGAGACAGATGGCGTGGAAGAAAGGTCCTCGTAAGCTGTAACGCAATGAAGGTGAAGTGACAGAATCAGAATCTACACCTGAGTTAAGGAAGGACTGGCTAATAATAAAGTGAGGGCTACTGGTGGGGAGCTCACTTTTGTTCTGCTTGGTTGGGAGAGACAGACACAGACAGACAGACAGTATGGGTAGGAAGATGGGTGGCTTTGAGGAAAAGCAGCTGGAGACACTGACCTATTTCTGTTTGAAGGGATGAAGGGAAAATGTAAGAGCTGAAAACCGAGGGCTGCTGATGGGGCCAAGATCCCGGGCAGAGGGAGGAGCTGGCTCTGAGGCAGGGAGGACACCTGCTCGGAAAGCAACACAGACGGGGAGCGGGGAGGGGGGAGCTGTGGCTCGGTGCGCAGCACCTGCCCGGCAAGCACAGGCCCTGAGTGTGATTCCCACTACCCAGAAAAATAAAACCTGTAAAAAAACGAAAGGGATGTAGACACGGAACGCCCAGTGTGAGCCCGACAACAGCCTGCGCATCCGGAAGGCTTCCGGGTCTGCAGAGCAGCGCTGTGGAGAGAAGCACGCCTGTCCACGCTGCCCTGAGCATGCCCACCAGGCGGAGCCTCTGCCCGAGACTCACCTCCACAGGTGCCTGTGTGCCCGGTGACACCAGGCTCCTCGGTCCACGGTTCCGTCCCTTGCTCTAACTGGGAAATCACGTCAGGTTTGGAAACTTGCAGTCCTGCTCGAGGGAGGACAAAGGGCCACATCAGAACTCCATCCTGGGCTTTGTCTCCGAGGAAACCCTCGTGGGCCAACTGTGGGGAGAGGAAGCTTCCCAGCATCACCCCTGCCCTGCCTGCGGGGCACTGTGCTCTGGGACCTCACTTGGTTTTGGAGAAGTAGGAGTTTGTTTCCCTGCCTATCAGAAAACTAGGAACTATTTCAAAACCTCAGAATTTATTAAAACTGCAAGGAGAACCTTTGTCCTCCACCCCTGCCCCTTCCTGGGGCGACCTTACCTATGGAGACCAGATGTGTGTAGTTTTCCAGGGTCACATCCCGGAAGAGGTCCCTCTGTCCAGGGTCCAGCTGCTTCCATTCTTCCTGGGTGAAGTCTACTACCACGTCCTTGAAGGTCACGGATTCCTGAAACACCAAGCACAATTGCGATAGGCCTTGGGACAGGCGAAGTCAGCAGGTGAGGGGCCCATGAGGCAGATCTGCGCACTGATGCAAAGGGGATCCGGAGGCGAGACTGTACAGAACCACAGTGCTGTACAGAGGGCTGGGCGGCTCTGCAGTAGGGCTCACCTGGTCACCGCCAAACAAGGGGAAGCAAAAAACCTCCATAAATGTATAAGGGTTCAAACCGTGAAAGTCCTCTTGGTCTGGGCTGCACACAGCATGTCAGAACCGATCCAAGTGCAGCTGTGCTTGCAGCTGTGGGATTTGGAGCAGAACCCCAAGACACACAGGTGGAGCTGCAGACTGAACTTATGGTCTACTCCCTGACCAGATGCCCGAGACTATGTTACAGTACTGGCTGTCACAAGCAACCGAGAGGTGACTCAGCGGTTACATGAGCCAACCAGAGGTCACGTGACACACCAGGCTATTCATTTGGAACTCGAGGAGCCACACTTTGGGGTCCCTTCGAGGACACCAAGGGATGACTGTGTACACTGTAACCATGTGCAGTTACCTGGGTGCAATACACTATGCGGGGGTAATGGCTAACTGTCAGCTGGCGTGGGGACGCCCAGCAAAAGCGACACAGCATGGTCCTGGGTGTGGAAGACCCACTGGAGGAGGACCAGTGTTGGAAAGGAATAAAAGGAGAACAGGAGGTGGGATTTCGGCTGATTCCCTTTGAAACTAGTTGCGACTGATTTTCCTCGGAAGGGCTCTGCTCCCCACCTTCGCCTTGGGCGGTGTCTCCAGCTTTGAGGCGCAGACTCTAGCTTCCAGCACAGAGCTCCATGCCACGCCCTGGCCTTTCCTCTGGATCCTTGAGCCTCCTCGTAAGGGACAGGTAAGGCGCTACCATGGGCACTGGGCTGCTGGCTGCATCCTCTGGGTCCACAGTGAGGACAGTTCATGCTCTTCTGCATTTGACTCCATGGGGCCACTGCAGGCCAACCTTGTAAACTTCTGTATCCTTGACATAATCTGCCTCAGGGCGCATGCAGTCTTTTGAGAAGCCTTGCCCCAGCCCCGCAAGATCCTGTAAGCCCTAACGAATGCACTCTCAACAAAAAATACACTACTACTACAAACACTGAGCTCAAAGCAGGAAAGACTGCGAGTTCTTCTGCAGGAACTGAAGCTGTGGAACAGGAAGGAAGCAGGTAGAAAACAACTAAGAAAGAGGAGCCTGACTAAAGGGGGCTGAGGTTCACCATGGCCAGCTGACTGCTACGGTTCTTGTCTAAATTCTCGGAGAGATAACTGCTCTTCTGAAAGATTACCCATCACTTTTCCACTATTAACTTCCTGGTTACAAGAGCCTCCAGAGAAAGCCTTCCACTGTCCCCAGCCCTGCAAAGCTCTCACATTCGACTGGCACCATTTGTATTCCCCCTGCTGGGATCAACCATTTGCGAGGAACCGCTGGATCACAGTCCTCTCACCTTTCTTCTGTTCACTTCTCTGTTTCCAGCAGTGAGTCTAGAAACTCACCTGGTGAAGAACTGAGCTCACTCCGCCATTCGGAGCACAGCTGAAAGCCAGGCGAGGGGGAGTGGGCTGGAGGCTAGGCCTGGGCATGCAGAGCTCTACAAGCCTCGGGCCTGTCTGGCACACACCTTCCCCCCTGAGGCAGCACCCTCTCCGGAAAGTTCCACTCACCTGAAAACCAGCCGCTGGGAAGAAGGGACGTCGCCCTCGGGCAGCATCGGTGGAACATAGACCTAGAGGGGAAGAGTTGGCTGCACTGAACAGCTGCAAATGAGCTGTACCCAGCAATCCATAAACCCGCGTGCTTGCTTTTCTACTTGGAAATAACAGAAACTATACTGTTTCCTTTACATTTCAGAATTAAAAAATAAAACAAGACAAAAAACATCAGTGACACAGCTGTTAACTGGGGCCTTGGGACCTTCCTTGGTAGGATCTGGAGAGAAAGGACTGCTTTAGGACTTAAGTTTGTCCTTAGATGTTCATTTTTCATGTGGCTAATATAGCTCAAACTCTGTTCCTCGGGAGCAAATTATTTTACTTATTTTCTCTGCAGATTACTTTCCAAGTCTTCACAGGCCCCTGGAAAACCTGGCTATTATAAATTAAAATATCTCAACAACATGTACGATTTATATTACCCACCCACCAGAACGTCTAGATTAAACAGCCCTGGTCAGTGCAACTGTTGGCAAGAATACAGAGCGACGGGAACTTCTGTACACTGCGGTGGTTTATAAGCTGATCAAGCGCCTAAGAGAACGGCTTGCAGTGCACGTGAAAGCCCTAAGATCCATCCACTCCCACGCACAGACCACAGAAGTGCTTGTACAAAAATCTTCATTCAGAATATTGCCAAGCTGAAAAGAAGCCCAATGTCACCGAGGAAGGGGGTCTAAGCAAATGGTGGCATGTTCATACCATAGGACACCAACCCGAAGAGCACAGGACAGAGCTCCTGCAGGGAGTGGCTGAACTGGAAACTGATCACACTGTGGGGCTCGAGCAAGGCCAGCCTGAGAACTCGGGGCGTGAGATGCAGTGGGGTTTCACCTGACGTCACCCTGCCCAGTGTACCAATGGATGCGCTGCAGTCACTGAGTGATTATTTTCTCCACCGAGAGAGAGGGCTCCTCCTGACCTCAGCTTTCTGCATTTTCACTCTGGCTTCGCTCCTTCATGGGCCTCCCCCTAGAAGCTCCTAGGATTACTGACAAGTGAACAGAAGTAGGTAGAGCCCACACTTGTTGGAATGGAAGTCAAAACTGAAATGAGACCCGCAAATTATAACACTATTAAAAAAAGAGAGAAAGGATCAAATCTAAGGACAGTGGGAAACAGAAGGACTAAAAGGAGAAGCCAAGCAATCAAACACCAAGACCTAAGTCATTTCAGAGATCTGGAAAGCACCACAAAACTGCCCAGGATAGACTGCTGGGAAACCACCATTGAGATGGGGGCTCCCAAGGTTCTGGCCCCCAGATTCAAATTCCTCAAAGACCCCAGGGGGGCTACCATGGGTTTCATGACCAAACCTTGGTACAAGAGCTAGATAAAATTTTCTGAAAGTGACTGATAGAAACAGGAAGACTGGCCAGGAATGCTGGTGCACGCCTGTAACCCCAGTACTCTGGAGACAGACAGGACCGCTTCAGCTTGAGGCCACACAGTGAGACCTTGCCTAAAAAAACAAACTGGAAGGTGGCTAGGTGCAGTGCAGCAATCCTGAGTGTGAATCTCGCCAGAAACAGCAAGAAACTGAAAGGAGACAGAGTGGGCCACACGGCACAGCCCACGATGGCAGGGCCACCATGGGCAGCTTGTTGGGGGCAAAGCTACAAGAGTACAAAAGTTTCATCTGCCTGGAGGAATACGGATGTCTCTTTTTGTTTAATATATGTGTGAGTCCAAAAAAATCTTACCTTAAAGGTGTTATCCCTCAAAAGGTACAGGAAGCGGTGGGGAAAACTACTCTACTCTCAGTGTTGCTCTAGAACAGGAAAACTGTTTTGTAATAGAAATCTTAAGGGAAAAAAATGAAGATGTTAGCCTGGAGTTTTCAGCAGTAAAAGGAAATGCAGGGCATGGACAGTTTCCTAACCCAAACTCTGGGAAAACAGAACCAAGAGAAATGTTTCTAGCAAGTGGCTTTTGATTCCAAGAAGCAGAAAACAAAAAAACCAGTAATGATGACAGTTATACAAATTTGGAGGGTACCTGGCTGGCCCAGTAAATGCTCATTTAGTGTACAACCGAGAATGGTCTCCGAAAGAAAGATGAAACAAATACTTCATGAAATCATTTGGCCAACTTAATTGAGGAACTTAGAATTTAAAAGAGCATTATAAAGTGAGAGAAGGTGCAAAAAAGGACAAACATAAACAGTACCTCAGACCTACTTGAACAATGCTAACCTTTAAAAACATTATTTTTACGAAGTGCAAGAAAAAGGACTACATGGTAACAGATTAAACCAAACTGGACTGCATGGTCACACTAAAGAACATAAAGACGCTGGACATGGTGGCCCACACTTGTAACCCCGCAACCCAGGAGGCTGAGGTAAGAATTGGAGTCCAGCTTGGGCTACAAAGTGAGTTCAAGGCCAGCCTGAACTGCCTGGTGAAAAAAGAGAGAGACAGGGAGAAAGACAGAGACAGAGACAGGGAAGGATGGACGGACAGACAATGACAGTGCAGAGCAAAGCCCATAGTGACATGTCACAGCGCTTGGTCCACCCTGACGTGTTCCTTGGGATTCAGAACACCTGACCACCACCCCCAAATCGGGCAATCATAAACACAAACTCCTGACATGAAGAACAGTAACACCCCATTACACAAGAACGCCATAAATCTAGTTAGTGCCGTATAAGATACAGATCTTTGTAAAGCAAAAGAAACGTGATGTTGAGCAGCAAAAGTACGGGCAATACTTCTGCAGGCCGTTATCTTTTCAGGTTTCCTTCAAAGCACATCTAGAACTGCTGCTCTCTCTCAGACTGCGCAGAGCTAAGGAGAGGCTTGGCGCGGGCACGCGTCGCAGGATATTGAGGAAGCCAGGGATGCAGGAGATACCGGGCGGGTTCGCGACTGCTGCTCTCGCAGACGCGGGAAGGAGGAGGAGGAAGATCGGATGCCTGTGCTCTCACACAGCCAGAGCTGAGCTCCCACAGCGCTCCGGTCCAACGCGCACGGAACTGGAGAGAGAGCGCCGAGGAGCAGCAAGCAGTGCGCGCCCGGCACTGCGAGGCGACCGCGCGGGCGCACAGATGCCGGCGGCCAGGGTGTTTTCAACACCGATCCTAACACTGAAGGACAGTCACCGAGGGCATCATCCAAGACTGAACAGGGAGCAGTCATGCGGGAATCTGAGAGTTTGCGTCCTAGCTTCTTTCCATTGCCCGACCTGGACGCCGCGCAGGACGCGCCCGGGTCAGAGCCTCTGCCCCGTTCGGCCCGGCCACGCCACGCACGCTGCGCCCTCGCAGGCAGGATGGCCCCCCAGCCCCACGGCCCTCAGAGTCCCCACGGTCCCTACGCCCGTCCATGCCCCCTACCTTCCATGTCAGGCGCTCATCCCGGCCCGGCCCGCTCCTGGGCGCTGCGGCGACACCGGCGGGCACACCTGTTGACGCGCGTCGCGGGAGGCGTCTGTTGCGCGGGCCAGGCGGGTGCCACCCTCGCCCGGACCAGAACAAAGAACAAAGCGCGCGTTGGGCCGGGGCGGGACGCCCGCACGCGGGAGGCGAGGGGCGCCCCCTGCGCGGACCCCCCGGCTTCCTCCCGCAGCGCTGCGTCACGCGCCGCCGGGAGAGCGCGACGTCAGGCGCCTGCAGGCCCTGCGGTTGCCGTGGTGATACGTGGGCGCCCCACTGCCCACAGCCATCCACACTGTGGGATGCGGGCCCGGAAGCGCAGGAACCGTCGCCAGACCTAACCCCGGCCAAGCGGCTAGGAAGCCGTAGTGCGGCCTCAGTCCACGCCCACGGGAGGTGTCACGGCCACTTCCGGTCATGCCAAAGCCCCACCCCCGGGAAGATGAGGACTACAATTCCCAGGATGCGCCGCGCGAAACCTGGGACTACATTTTCCAGAGGGCCCAGCGGCTCCGACGTCACGCGCGTCCCTCAGCCACTTCCGCCAGGCCGCAGGTGAGGCTCGGGGCGCTAACTGTGGAGAGGGTGCTCACGCTCGTGTCCTTAAAGTCGCACTATCCTTATCTGACCTGCAGTGTACTGCGTGTTCTGGAAACAATGTTCACAACGCTAAGCAGATTTCAGAAACGAAGTATTGCAAGAGCGAGGGAAGCACAGGGAGCAGCTTGGGGTTCTCAGTGGGGCACAAGTAGACGAGGCACGAGCAGATCGGAGAAGAGCTGTGGGGGATGGGGGACGGCAGGAAGACCCCGGTTGAGAGATGGGAAAGAGCGAGCACAGCGGCACTGATTCAAGTCACACTGGGGAATTCAGTGGGTGCTGCAGGAAAGCGATTGGTCCTCGACGGGGTAGTCTTGATTGGAACTCAAAAGATGAAGCTGAGTAAGAGAAAGCCATTTATAGGAATTGTCCATCACAGAAGAGAGACCAGATAAAAACTGGCTGTCCTGTAACACTTTGTGGGCAGGCAGTGTTCCAAGTGCATAGCGGGTAGTAACTGACTGAATCCTCAAAACAATCTGAAGTTGCTTTTCTGTTATTTCTACTTCACCTCTAAGGAAACTGACACAAATTGCTTGATTTGCTCAACGGGTTGCATAAGCAGCAGAGGGGAGAAGCTAGGATTTGAATGTTAGTACTCTGGTTCCTAAGCACTGAATTTCCAAAACTCCCTGTGACACAACTGAGTATTAAAACACTTCATGAGAGACAGAGAGAACTATATATACATTGTCAAAGAAAATTTAGGAAAAGAAGGGAGAAAAAAACATATAAGCAGCCAAAACAACGAAACAAAAACTACAAAACTTCAAAACTCAAGATACTAGAGTTATTATGCTAGAAGCTGAGAAACAAAAAAAATTTCAGAGGACCTGTCTGTCATCCAAGAATTTTCTATCAGCAAATAATCATCTATAGATAATGATCTCAAAAATCTTAGAATCGAAATAATTCTAGATAACACTTCTTCAAATTCTTTCACTTGATCAGTATATGTTTGTGGTAACAGGTGATGGGATGCCTAGGAAACCAACACAGGTATTTGGTACAAATAACCTAAAAACGTGAAAGTGATTTTGGAACTTGATCAGTAGAAGCTGGAAGTATTTTGAGGTGTACGATTTTCAAAAGCCCAGCATATCTTGAAGGTAGAAATGTGGCCATCATGAGGATGAGGGTGAGAGAGAACATGTCAGTGAGCTTAGCGAATAACATGGGTTTATGCACAGAATGTTGGTTTTAAAAATGTGAATGTTAAGAGAATAGAGGGGCTGCAGAACACTGATATGCAAGGTAGTGATCTGCAAAACACAAGAAGGCCTCTTGAGGCAAGAAGTGCGGCTCTGCAGCAGAGCACGTTGCTTAGCAGGTACAAGATCTTTACTGTGATCCCTAGTGTCAAAAAATAAAACCAAATATTAAAAGAATTCTTGAGCCAGGCATGCTGGCGCACAACCTGTAATCCCAGCTCTCAGGAGGCTGAGGCAGGAGGATGATCATTGATAGATCTGTGAAGGGGGAAGGTAGAGGAGGAGGACTGGCGTCGGCTGAAAAGATAAGAAGTATAAAAATATAAGTAACCTTTATTTTGGGAATGCGGGGAGAAACACCCCCGACCCCCTGGGGCGTGGCATCTCCACCCTGGGGCCGGAGGAGATCTCTCCCTCGAACACGTGGAGTGAGGCACATAAGTAGCCTCGGCCTGGGGTGGAACCCAAGGGGCATTAGAGATGCACAGGTGGCCCATTGGTCTTAGTTTGGCGCCAGAGGTAATTTTCAAGGGTTGGGGGAGATAGGAGCTCCCTGGCTTTACTGGCTACAGTATCCGGCCTGGGCCAGCAACACTTTCAATCATGAGTTCAAGACCAGCCTGAACTCCATAGCAGAGACTCTGTCTCAGAAACCAAAACAAAGAATTCTTAAAAATCAACAACAACCAATTAAGAAATAAGCCACGACCGGATGTACAGTTCAGAGCTAGAGTGCTTGCCTAGTGTACACAAGGCCCTGGGTTCAATCCCTACTACAAAAAAACCTGAAAAAAAAGAGACACAAAGTTTGACACTTTAGCAATGATACACAGATGGCAGGTCAGCGTATGGAAAGATGCTTCACACCACACGCCACCAAAGAAGTGCAAATTAAGATGGCAATGAGAGGCCACTGTACACCTGTCAGAGTCCCCAAATCCAGTGCACTGACAATGCCACAGGCCCTCAAGGATGCAGATCAGCAGGAAAACTGTCTCAACACTGGGGGTAATGCAAACCGGGGAAGCCACTGTGAAGGGTGGGGTGACAATTTCTTATAAATTGAAAGATTCTATCTAGGATACCTCAACTTTGCTCCTTGGCATTTTCCCAAAGATACTGAAAACTGATAGCCATACAAAATCTGCACACATTTATAGCAGCTTCATTCACAGTTCCCCAAGCACAAACACAACCAACACACCCTCTGAGACACGGATATACTGTGCTACGGATGGACAGGGGACTATTATTCAGAAAGGAACAGAAATAAGCTACCGAGCTACAAAAGAAATGGTGGGACGTTAAATGCTTGTTACTAAGTGCAACGAGTCAATTGGAAAGAGCTACTTACCCCGTGTGAGCCTGCTATTAACATTCTAGAAAAGCCAAAGCCACAGAGACAATAACGCTCAGAGGGGCCAGAGGCTTGGGGGAAAGGAGGAAAGACGGGTGGGTGGAGTATTGGGGCGGAGAGTTCCCTGTTACACTGCATGGTGTACAGCCTGTAGGGTCCAAGGGGACCAGTATGCTAGTGAGTGTTCGCTTTAACAAGTGCACCGCACTGATGCAGGGTATCGGTCATAAGAAAGAAATGGGGAAAAGGGAAGGAATGTACTGGAATGCTGCCCTTTCTACTCAACTTTTCTAGAAACCTAAGACTGGGCAATAAATAAAGCCTATTCATTTTAAAGTATGTGAACGCTAAAGGAACTTGCGGGAAGGTCTCGGAAGGAAGCGATGGGCCTGGTATTAGAGACTGTGCAGGGCCCCGATTGCGCTACGTTCTGTAGCCGGGTGGCCCATAGCTGTCTAGGCGAGGAGCTTAGGGCCAGCCCGAGGGGGTGAGCGGGCAGCCCGGTTCTCACTCGATCTTTACACTAAAACGAGGCCAAACAGACAACGCGAGCAGCGCTGGGCAGAGCGGACCGGCGAGGGCCGGGAGCGGCTGAGTCCTGCTCGTGTGGGCTGTGGGCTCCTCCAGGCGCTGGGAGCACTTGTCCTCCTCTGTCTCTGTGCTCTTGCATTCCATCACATGAACAAAACAGAACAGTTCGTCCTTTTATTTAGGATAGGTAGAGATTAGTTTCCCATTAGCTCGCGAAGGCAATTAACCGGGAAGTTTTTGTTTCCTACTAAGTTCTGACTCTTGCAAAATCCAGTCTGCCTTGTTTTTATGTCAATCCAAACAGGACTGCATCGGTGGCCAGTCCCTAGCCACTGATACCTGAAGCAAAAAACCAAGCAATTACTCATTTAGTTCCTAAACATCACTTGCACCGGTTTTGCTGCGTTTGTAAGGGTGTGATGTTTCTGACGTTTCTTTGGCGTAGCAACTTAAGGCTAGAGTTCCAAATAAGCAGCCAATACACGCTGGGCTGATGAAACGCACGCACCACACCGCAGAGCCAGGAGTGGCACTGCTCGCGCAGGATGACAATTCCCGGAGCCCCGACTGCCCCCACAATCGCCAGGGTCCTCCGAATCCGCTGCGGAGCCTGCTCAGAAGCCCGACCTCGGCTCTCCGTCCGTCCTGGCCCTTCCTCCCGCCCGCCCCCTTCTCTCCTCCTCCGTACACGCAGGGCCAAGCGAGTCCCTCCTCTGGCCTTTTCCTCTGCCCAAGCGGAGGAGACAATCACCACGATCTCACGAGCTCTTCGCAGGTGCCCCCCACTCGGGGCGGGCGGCGTGAGCATGGCACACGCGCTTCCCGGAGCCAGCTCCAGCCAGTGGCGTAGTCGTGGCCGAGTGGTTAAGGCGATGGACTAGAAATCCATTGGGGTCTCCCCGCGCAGGTTCGAATCCTGCCGACTACGGTCATTTTTGCGTGGGCCCCAGTCCCGGGATCCCCAAGCCGAGGCCTTTTCCCGCCCAGCGCGGTCCGGTTCGGAGCCGCCAGTAGGCCACAAGGGCGCCCCCTTTTGGCCTGAGCGCAGGCGGAACATGATATCCTCATCAGGCGACACTGTGGCTCATTAAAACGCCAATTCCTCGTTAGTATAGTGGTGAGTATCCCCGCCTGTCACGCGGGAGACCGGGGTTCGATTCCCCGACGGGGAGGTGGTGATCTATTTTTTTTGAAGCGCATCTTTGTGCAGGAAAATATTTCTAGGAACTGGCACACAGCGAGTCACTTCACAGTGGACGTTCAGACAGGACGGCCAAGCTGTCGCAGTGCCCGAGGCCCGCGGGCCGCCGCTGCCAGCGCGGGTCTGACAGTTAACTTAATGGGGGAAAAGGAGCCTACCCTAGGTGTGAAAAACCTGACAGCAATCGAGGAAACGTGGTGAAAAACGAAAGGATCGTCTGAGCCCGAGCGCTTCCCGCTTTCTACACTCCGGACTGAGGACGGAGACCCCAGGGGCGCCAGGCGGGAAACGAGAGCGCGGTGGGCGGGGCCGGGCCCCTGCTGAGCGCGGTGGGCGGAGCCTGGGAACACGACCGTGGTGGGCGGAGCCGGCAGACCTCTAGCGCTCTGGGGGTGGGGTCTAGACCTGTGGGCGGGGCTGAACGGCTCGGTAAGGTACCCCTGGCGGGAGGAGGCGGGGCCCTACGGCTCCACAGCAACACCTTGCGACCTCTAGGACACC